ACCAAGTACCATGTAAATCCACTACAAAAATATTGACTCAGTTTCAAATTGTGTATATTCAGTAATGCAGCCTTACCTTACCATTGGGCCCCATATATAAAAATAGTGCATGTGGCATCATTGCAATTGCAATGTATTCAGCCAGTTCAGATTCCTCACACTGCTTTAACCATTTGTCCATATTCTTTGCATGACCAAAGTACCTTGTGTTGCCAGAAAAGAATGAAGAAAGGAAGAAAAATAAAAAAGAGAAGGTCTAAAAGGTTATGCAGTATTCACTATGTAATGGCTGAAGGGGGTCCAGTGCAAAGACAAATATTTTCCAAACAGATACCAACATACTGACCAATTAATTTATTTCATAGCACGGTGGGCCTTGGCTAGATGACTACGTGCACACGTAAGACTATAGAGAAAGTGTTGCTTGCATATTCAGCGCTTTCTCAAGCAGTCATAAAGCATATAGCCTAATAAGGGTAGAAGGACTCAAAGGAGGAAGGAGTGATTCCTTAAAAAGACAGAGCTCTTTGGCGTGCATCCTTCCCAGACAGAATAAACATACATCCTACCTGCACTGTATCTGGGCAAATACATTTCCTGTTAACAATTATGGTATGGAATTCACAGATTAATAAAGCTTTTGCAGAGCTCAGGCAGGAGTGATTTTCAGCACACGAAGCCTGTTACAGCAAGTTCTATTAATATTCACCAAAGGAAAACCTGTTTGTTGACCTAAAGTGCAACTGCTTCCTACTCTCTTCTTGTGAAATTATTTAGGTCCTGTGGGACAACTGTACTGAGCTTTTGACGCAAATATTAAAATTCTATTTAGATGTACAATGTTTTAATGCAAATTTTTACCATAAAACCAAATGCTCCATTCAGTTAAATTAATAGAATTACAAAAAGATGTAATGATAGCAATTAAGTCTTGAAAATGCAAATTTTATAGTCAAGGACAATTACCTCATTTATAGTATACTGGAATGATGCCAGATGAAGGTAATTTAGATCCCCCTAGCTCACAGTTATATCATGAAGGATATCTTAATTTCATTAGTACAACAAAGATGGGTGAGAAGTTAGAGAATACAAAAAAAAAAAAAAAAAGAGATGGGAGAGAAATTTGACCTTTCTCATTTCATTGCAGCTAGAATACATAGATCTTACTAAAGTATTAGTAATATTTCTTTCTACTCCGATCTCTGAAAAAATGCTTTTTTTTTTTTATTAGCAGCAATGGAACATTACTATGTAAAAGGTCAGCTTCGTTCAGATACTTTGAGCCAGTGTGCCTGTACCACAACAGTTATGGGCCTCCCATTATTTCAGTTTTAAGGATGCATGCAGTGTTAGCGCTTGGCTTACAAGGTCTCAAGCCACGGCCTTAGGGACACATGGTTTTGACTCCAACAGGACTTAAAACATTCTTGAAAAATTCCACTCACTCTTACAAAAGTACTCCTGCCTCCCCCAAACAGGCAAGTCAAATATCATTAGTTTTTCATTAGCATAGCAAAGAGTGATCAAGTAGATGCAGAATACAGAGTGATATACCACAGATTTCCTAGCCTGTTTGGGGGGGGGGCAGGGGGGAGAAAAAAAAAAGGAGACTCTTTCATGCAGACTCTTTAGCACATTACCAAGTTCAAATAGGAGTTTGAAAGACTCCAGAGGTTCTTCTTTCTTTCTTTCTTTCTTTCTTTCCTCACTGTCCTAGTAGCTACTCCTAACCCAAATAAGTATCCAGGGAAAGGCATATTAAATATGGTGCAGTATGAAGTTTAAATAAAAAGTCTTTACAGCTACAAGTTTTCCTTCATGGCCTGCTGTAGGCACTGCAGACAAACCCAAGCCCAAGAGGGATGGACTCACCGAAGAGCTGTATCCTCGTAAATTATTCTAGTTATACCAAATTCCCTTCCCGATACCTACACGTAAGCTCTGGAAAGAGTTGAAATCATGGACAGAGCAGCACTTTTCCACCTCTTTCCTCACCCCAAGCACAATTAACAAGGGCAACATGAAACATGCTTGCCAAGAGAAGGAGGAGCTGCTTACCCGCAAAAGAGGTGGCTTTGCTCTAGACCTCGCACGCTGGAGGCACAAGCCTCCTGCTGGCAAACCCGCCCTGGCACCCCGTGATGGGCCGGTGGCGAGGGACTGGGTCCCACGCACCACGCTGCGACAAGAATGCGCCATGGCAGGACCCCCGCCCAGAGCTGCTTCATAGACCCGGCTCACTGCAAAACAGCCCGTGCACATGAGGGGTATAGGATTTTTATCCTTCATCCCATTGTTGCCATGATAGCTAGGAGAATATTTTTAAATGTTAAAATGCATACATGCAAGCCTTACTGGGAGACAAGCATGAACAAGTGAAACTGTTCTGTTAATCTGACCTACAAATTCACTAAATTTTTCTTCAGTGATTTAGTTAAAGGCAGCATTTTCCATAAAAATGGGCATCTTAAAAATAAAAGGACAACTATGACCTGAGTTTAGTTCATTATTGATTTTAATAACAGGGCTGTTGGCTATTTTGTTTTAAGAAACAAGCCTATTCTGAAGGAAAAAGGTACCCTGAGTAGGGTTTCTGCTTTTTCCTCCTTATTCCTGAATTCAAATACAGCTGAGCGCACATGGACATACGCTGGTTTTGCTTCCTTGGACATGGTTTTGTGAAAATAGGAACAGATCCAGTGCTTTTTTCCCCTCTACTTGTCAACATGTGTGCTCAGGCACACCTGTAGTGCCGTCCTTATTTATCACTGATCTCACAAGTGAAAGTCTGACCACACTAAAGTGAGCTGGAGAGATGCCATTGACTTCAATGGCAGGATTTCACCCCATATTTCTTCAAGTCAAGGATGCTATCAGTCGCCCCTGCTGCTTGAAACCAACAGATGGTTTCCTGGCTCATGGAAAGTCGTTGGCTCCCTGTGGGGCTCAGATTTCCTTCAGTGAATTCTGTCTTCTATTGTCCAAGAGAAAAATTAGACCTTGTACCAATATTGACTTTATCCCATGCTTCTGATTGTTATACCCCTGTTATACCTGACAAGTTAATCTGAGCTTGTTATTTTTATTTATTTATTTATTTATTTATTTATGTATATGGACTGATGTAGCATTCTAAACTCTCAGAAAGTCTTTGCGGATGTCATTTGGAGATTTGGCTCAACAGGGAGTGCTTGAGTGAGTTAAAATTGGGTATGTTTTTACCATATTGTACAATACAGCTTAAACTTCCATGTCATTTTATTGAAAAGCATAGATTTAACAAGCTAATAGTTTGTGAATCTGCTGAGTCTCAGCTGTTGCAGGGAGAAATGTTTTGACCAGCCTATTCCCAGTATGTCTCGGTTGTAAAAAAACAGGCTGTGATCGTAATAGGATATTGATTAGTCTGGATCCCATACAGAGCAGAACTTGATTCTTTGGTGGACCACTAAAGGTCATATTGCTTGATTGCTCCATAGCTTCTAAAATACAAGAAATATTGAACAAAAACTGTTTTCAATTATACTCATGTTATCTGAGGCCTGGGAATGTAACCGAGGGCATTATTTGGCCCATTCTGTTAAAAAAATGGGCTGATTCTCAACATTTCATTTTGTCATTGGCAGAGCTGAACATCAGCTCTGGCTACTCTAATTGATGTCCTGGGCTAAACTTAATTCCAAGGTAAGCAGGTGCAAATCTGTTCAATCCATGGATTTACTTTTGGATGGATCTGACATACAGTGATTTGTGCGTTGTGTTACCTGAAAATTACATTGGGTTTAGGACTAGTTTTGGTCTGCATCTTCATACGCATTTCTGCAGAACAGTATTTACAACTGTTTAGGTACCTCAGATCTCCAAATTCCTCACTTGACTTGACCGTTACAATGATCTTAGGTCGGCAATAAGCTAACGGCTTGCTGTTAAATAAGATTTAATCCAAGCATGATACTGTGGTCAGTGAAATGAATTAGCTTTTTGTGCTAACGAAGATCCAGGCCAAAAATTATATAATGATGTCAAAATATATTGTGGAAAATAGTATCGATCTAAACTCTTCCTTTTATCACACTGACACCACCGAAGTTGTAAGCACAGAAACAGGCTTTAGGAAATGTTATAATATAAGTGAAGGAAAAATTTGTCCTATTCTGGCTTCTTTCAAGAAATTCAGTTTTCTAGTCAGAACTCCAATAGAGTAAATTCCATTTGTGGTCACCCAGACAATTCAAGATGACTGTGGAGAAAAATTCTAGCAACAAGTCAATTATTTCCTTGATCCTATCAGAAATGTGAGTTAGATTTAGCTTGATACTAAATTCCACTAAATCCTAAAATGCAGTAGAGAAAGAAATAGATGAGTCATACATTAATTTTAGTTAGTACTGTTCCTAGTTGTTCTGTCACTTAGTAAGTTAGAAAGCAACTTCTCTAGTGCATATTTATTCCAAATTAATAGAACAATTCTGAAAAAAAAAATTACATTTTCCTTTTTATGTATTTATGGCATTATTTATCTATTCCTGTTTCCAATACATACTGCAATGCTTCTTGTGGAATGCAATTCCTTTTTTACTCCTGACCTACATCTGCTTTGAAAGCTGTATGGATGGGATAATTTCTTTTCTGTTTTCTAACGTTTTTCTTCTCACTTTATGAATGCTCAAAAGTGAGACAAACTATTTCCGATCATTTTCCATTTTGCTAACTGTCTGAATACTGCAGTGGGTTTCTTTTGAGATGTGATTTTAAAAGGATTTAAGGACCTGCATTTAAAAGTTCATATTTTCAGAAGTTGCCTGTGATTTTTGGAGGCTTTAGCCTCCAAGTCTCCAAGTTTAGACAACTGCTTGATTTTCAAATATTCAGAGCATTCACAAAGCCTGTTGAAGCACAAACAAGGTTTTCAGTGTCCTTTAGGTCCTTTAGGCTTATTCTCTTCATTAACTCCAAACTGAGATATTTTGGAAAACTATTTTTAAAAACTCTTGCCTTCAATGAATTCCACAGTCCTGTGCAGAAGTCAATGGGAAGACCGGGTTAAGCCCAGGCTTCAAGTTTTCCTGATTCTGGCACAACTTCTTGTCTATTGGATGGTTCTCAGCAACTACAACCATCTATAAAATTTAACCAACAGTGGAAATTGTTAGCAATATTCTGTCCAGATAATGGAAAGCCATCTAAAATATTATTTTTTAAAAAGATGAAGAATGGCTTGCTTAGATAATATATACATATATTTGCCTTTTTTTACTTCGTGGAAAGGATGTCTTATAAAAAGAAAGTTTGCAAGACAGAAAAAATAGGTATCAAATTCCAGAAAAGAAGGAAAAGAGTACAGAGCAATCTTTGCAAAAGCAGATTGCAGATCCACTGACACTATCTTGTTACAGTAACACATCAAGTAATTTCATAAAAGACAGCTTTCAGCTTGTTTGTTTAAAATGTTCTAATAAAACATCTAGCTTGTAACATTGCAGTATCCTGTAAGGGCTTTCATATGCTTTCCAATAGAGCTTCTGATTGGAAGTATTAGCTGATGCAGCAGGATAAATAAAGAAATGTCTAGATTGCTATGGTTCCCAAAGGTCATTTTTATGAAAAGATCAGGAAATATGTTTCATTGAAATTAAAAATAGAACCATATCGAGTTTAATAACATTGTTACTATAATGATGTAAAATTCAGTGAGATGGTGTACTGTTTAATATTTGACTGTCAAGTTTCCACAGTGAAGCTGAGATGTGTGGAAGCATTTAAACTTTTTAAACTGAATTTGCTTTCAATTTTACTGCTGTTTCATTACCCGCTTCCCTTTTTTCCCCCTTGCTATAACACTGCTTGTTTCTTAGTTGAACCTGATATTTTCAGTAAAGTACAATACAAAATTCACAGAGGATCGCACCTCTATTCCCAGGAAGACTTAGTGTGAATAGGCATCCCCAGCTGGCCAAAAGCTTTCTACTCCGATTCATTTTCTCCATCAAGAGAGGACCCCAGCAGTGTTTTAGGGCATGGCAAGGGGGGAACTGCCAGGGCACAGCTGCCTTCTGGGTTTTCTCAGTGATGGCATCATCTGAGATAGCTTAACATCAGAAGCTGTATCAACCCTCAGCCACCCTGGAAAAAGGAGAAGGTCTGGCTGGCGTAATGCCACCGCTCCCAGGTCTGCATTCACATAAACAACTGTAAAGATGACCGAAGCCAACAACTGCGAAGTCAGAGCAGTCTCCGGCTACGTACAGCCTTTTGTTGCACATGGTGCTGAGTGCTAGGATCAGAGAATTGAAAAGTTTATAGCTTGGCACACTCTGCAAAATTTGGATTTTCAGATAAATAAACAAACCTCTGTCTCCATCCCTGGGACAGAAATTAGTCAATCCATGTAAATAACATGTAACATTTTGAGATCAAATGCTTTTTCTTAAATGCCAGCTTGGTTTAGCACATTTCCCCAGGACGGATTTTACCAGGTTAGATTAAGAGTTGTTTGGATTCATCAGTGTAGAAAACAGATAGCTGTAAATGTTCTTGAAACATTTACTTGACGTTCCTGATAAAGCAAAAGTCTGAGTGTCGTAGCTGCAAGAGTTACTCTAAATGTTTCAGTAACTGTAAAATCCTGCATGGCAAAGTAATTGATGCATTTATGACAGACTTTGGAGGCCTGTCTGTAAATGACTGTATGGATTATATACTGACCTCTGTTCTGGAGGGTTTTTTCCCACCCTCCCACTTAGCCACCTTTTGGCAGTAGTCACAAGAGCACTTACATACCTGCGTGTGAAAGAGCAAAAAGGGGAGACAACAGTTACCAATATCCGTTTATATGTCCTTCCTTGTTTACTTATGATGCCATCTAGAAGGCATTGTCAACAGAGGCTCTATGTTGTACCTACCAAAGGCCATCTGCCAAGTGGGTTTCAGCGCCGCACACAGGGCTGGGACATCGCTTCTGCCGCTTAGCCCTGGCATCCCTCCTTTCTCCTCACCCCTCTGCAACGCTCCTTCAGGACTCACTTCACACGGGCCAGGCAGCCCTCCATACCTTGAAAGGATACAGATATACTGTTCTTAACTACTATTATGCTGAGCTTTCAGGAAAGGTTACTCAGGTAAAGGGCTCAAGGAGTCTCGGCAAAAGTAGTTTCAGGGACGAGAAAACAGAGGCAGAAAAGTTACTGTCTCAGAATAACTTCGCAGAGCCTTGGGTGCAGATGGCATAGAGCTACATATTCTGGTGGTTTTGCTGGACTTAGGTTTGTTCATAAAGGTGAAACTAAAGAGGTTTGACACATAAACCGGAGGAGGAAGGACCATGATTCTCCTTGCAGCTGGTTTCATACAGAGATTAGCTAAACTTGGATGTTTGCTAATTCCTTTCTCTTAAAGACCTCATAGAAGGCAGAAAGTATGATGCATCTACATGAGCTGGACCAGACTCTAGGCTGATATGGACTTTAGGCAATACTAAAACTGCCACTGGTCCCAAATACCTAGCTGTGGGTCACAAAGAGACCAATGTATTTCTACACATCTGACTCAAGACACCTATACACTGAAATCTTCTCTCCATTAAAACAAATGACAAAGCTTGTGGTTGTTTGAATGGAGCTGGAATTTCAGACATGGAACTGGCTCAAGAATGATATCCTTTTAATAGATTCACCTAGCCAACACGCAAACTTCTCTAATAGGGATGGAAAAAAGAGTTTTCTTCTTTATTTTAGTTTTTCTTTGCTTTTTTGGATGTAAGTCAACATTATTCAAATGCAGCGTTTGAAAGGCACTGTGAAATCATGAATAAAGGACTCCAGTGTTATTTCATGGAAAATCTATTAACATAAAAGATCAATAATTATTCTTTCCACAGTTTGTTTGGTTTTTTTTGAAGCATCCTGTAAACTTTAATAGCAAATTACAAGCCTGGTACAGAAGTGTATGGGAAGGGTTAAGAAATCTGCAAAATGGATGGCATTCTTCTTTCAACACTGTAAAGTGAAATCCTGCCTTCATTACGTTTTGCTACTAATTTCAGCAAAGTCAGAAGTTCACTCCATCATGTGTTAGAGGCAACTATCTATCACCCTGTTAAATTCTGCTCTTTGTTTTCCATATGTGTGTCTTATCCTGTTAGTCAGGTATGTGTCCACGACTGGTGTGAGGCCAAAATTAACTGATGTGGGGAAGGGCAGATGTCTAGGGGCAAGGGGAAGGCATAATTGTTTGGTGAGGTCAGATGGAAGGGGCTATGACAAGGGCAGCGTGACTTGATGAAAGTTTGAGGATTGGTGTAGATTCAGCAGTTCAAGCCAAATGCAGGGATTAGGGGGTCACAATTATTTCGTCTTCAGGGAGAAAAATGGAGGTACTAAGTAGTTATACAAATGTACTCTTTATTTGTCACAAGAAATTATCAGGTTTTATTATTACAGAACAAGGAGGGACTACACAGCAATGTAATGGTTTCCTTAGCCTTGGTCTCTCTTTGTATGTAGTATTCTCTGTTATAACATCCTGAAAGCTACTGTGTCATGGGAGAGGGGTGGCCCTGGAGCACAGAAAGACAAAGAGTGGGCAAAGGACAAATAACAGGGTGTCCTGATTATCCCCCCTTTCCTGTAGACCATCAGACTGCAGTGTGCTGAGCCAGAAGGTGAAAAAAAGGGCAAATCTCACATTAGCAATGAGTCCTCTAGCTGTTAAAGGTACAAGTCATCCTGGGTGAGGTCAATTTTTCATGGTGACTCAAAAGGACGATGTTGCTTGTGTCAGCAGAAGCTTAGCTACGGTCACAGCCACGCAGGTGTGGGCACTACTTCTCTTAGCGAACCACCTGGAGACTAGACAGGTTGTTGCATGTACGGAAAGCATTCAAGAAATCTGGGAAGGTGGATGCAGGTTGGGGCGTCAGCATGAACACCGTGACCTCTTCCAGCCCAAGGTTACAAGCGAAGGGGAAGCCGCACTCTGAACTTGGCAGGGCCAGGCATGTTGTGGAAAAGCCTGGGCAGCATCAGGTCTTTTTTTTTCCCTAGTTCAAAGGCCTAACTAAGTCATTCTGGGCACCACAAGCATGAGCAAGGAGAGCCCAACAAGTCGCTGCCAGTGCTCTGCTGCTCTGCACCGGGGCTGCTTTTCGCTTACAGGCGCTCTGTTGTTTCATGTTTTTATGACACTGGGGTACCCAGTCCTTGGCAGGTGCTCCTGGGAGCTATTATAAAGCAAATTAAAATGTTCCAGCTTTCAAAACATCCGTGAGAACTCTTGGGGAAAACATACTGAAGTTTTGGTTTTCAGTGGGCTCTCACACAAGGTCTGAAAATTCAAAATGCTGAGAGAAAGTTAGGTTTTGGGTCCCTGAAAACAAGTAATTTTTAGAGTGGTCCTAGTGATTAAATCACTGGCAGCTGTTTTCTCACAGCAACAGATGTGCCAGGTACCATGCCAAAGGCTCATTTACGGAGCTGCTCCACTGTGGACAGAAGCTCAGTGTCGCTGCAGTGGTCCTTAGAGCAAAACAATTCCCTCAAAAAAAGAGAAGATGATTCAGAGTTGTATCATGGAAAATGTGCCTGATGTTTTCTGGGTCTACTCTAATAAGGAAACGTATCTATAAGAAAATGAGGATGAAGTGATGGATGGTAAGACACTGCTGAATGGTGGTTCCCACGGATGAGACATGAGATAATGCAGTCCCTCAATACTGAATGAACTTCAAAGCTCTGTAGTGGCACTCACTTGCCATGATCTGTTTTCATAATGAAATGGAGCTGCTTATCCCAAGAGGAACCTACAGCGACGTAACAGCCTAACTGCCCTTCCTTGCACACTGCTGTACAGTAAGTGCTACGGTCAAAATGCTTGCCAAATCTGAGTTTCCAGGTGAAACTGTTGAATTTGCCTGCTTCTGAGTGCTGCAAAGTAAAAAGGCTGCAATAGCAGCTTAAATCATAAGGCAATATCAATAGCATTTAGCCATATCCAACACTGTGATTTTGAAAAATCATAAATTGTACTGGATTTGTTACACAGGAGAGATTTGAAGGCAGGCAAGACTGCCAATGTGTTGTACATTGGTTGGATGCCTGATTTACCTGTGTCACTATTCAGCCAA